AACGACAATCATACATGGGCAGCATTTTTAGGAACATAACTTTTAGGTATGGGCAGGGAAGTTTGGGTACATTGAAAAACATACACATAAAAATTAATTTCTTATGGTATTTGTTGACAATAAGAAAAATCTTGCCAGCCTTCTCCTCTCATATTGAGTTCTATTTCTGTGAAAAAATAGGGAATTGTTACTGAATCCAAGTATGGCAGCCTGGTTTATTTGTACTTCAGGGAATCTGGATATAATACATGTATAGTGTTATGTAACAGGTAGAGATTGGGGCAGAATGCGGGGCAGAAGGAAGTCTTGCTGGGGAGTGATGTCCGTTGCATTGTTCATTCATGTGCCTCTCTTTCTCACCAAGCTGCTATCCTCCGAACATCCTCGTGGCAGACATCTCAATATCCCTGGTTGAGCGTAAGGGATTCACACACAAACTTGCCAGAGGCTTCTACTCTCTCGCTGTCATTCTTTCTCCGTTTCTTAACAGCTAAAGAAACACAACTCAAAACACTGTCAGGTCTGGAAGTGCTCCTGCAGAGTCCTTATTTTTAGGTTGGCAGGGAAAAGGAACATTTCATTTTTGCGTTATGCATTTGTTCTCATGCCTAAAACCTACACTGCAACAATAATTATTTTTTCATTCTTCTTCACTGTTGTCATTTTAATTTTACTTTGTCAGTCTCATTCTTAGAAGCCACCAAAACAGACATTTAGGCAAAACCTAAAAGGAAAATAATCAATAAAACACTCTCATATGACTCACTTCGCTACAACAAAACACCATTATGAGGTGTTATGAATCTGTCAATCAGCAATATAATTAGTATATCTTCGTCACCATTACCCTGCTCAGCAGTGGCTGTAAGTCTGTCCCATATTTTATTATTATTTGTGTCTGTCGACTGAATCCCATCATTTCTCTCTTCCTTGTTGTTGCTCTTGCTTTGGTGACCTATTTGTTGGCATTCTGGGAGTGCAACATTTTCTGGCTTGTCACCTCTTTGCTTATCACAGATGTCATTTAATTTGCATAGATGTCTATTGGCTGCCAGCCCTGACTTGGTACAAAGGACACCTTATTATTCAGTCTGTGTGGTTTCTATATACAACTTTATCCAGATTTAACTTTTGGTGGGAGTGTATAAACACTAATATTTATTCTATTTTAGAGAATATACAGGATATGCCATCATTTGGCATATAGCCTACATTCAGTAGACACACTTCTCATTCTTAACTTTTTTGTGGATTTTGTGGCTGTATGTCGATGGCAGATGTTATCAGCTGCAGCAAGCTATATCTACTTTAAGCTAACATTAGCACCCCAAATTGGTTAAAAAATGTGGTTGAAAATCATTTAAAATGTAAAACACTGCAAGATAAGTCTTAATGGATATACGTTCACGATATTATGCTAAAAGGCACTGGAACATTTTTAGCACCTTTTTTTTGTCAGTAGTTGACCACAATCAATTAAAGGTGGGGTAGGTAATTTCGGAGAAACCAGCTCGAGTGCGCTAGAATTTGAAAATACACAGCCGGAAAAAATCTGCCACTTCCTTACAGAGCCCCTCCTCCAACACACACGAACGCTCACATGACCAATGAGGGCATGAGATAAGTTTGTGCACAGATGGAAGGCTGACAGGCAGGTAGGCCATCCAGTTATTTTAGCCGGGCTGGCTAAAATGATTGGTTGTGCTTTTTACAGTACTGCGGCTTCGACAGGTGACATTTTTGTATGTTTTTTTTGAAAAAGCACTTAAGATATTCATTGCTATCGGGATGTTAAGAGCATTCCATGGAATATAACAAAATGTGAATCTCGAGCCGGTTTCTCAAACTTACCTACCCCACCTTTAAGAAAAAACAGATGCAGGTTGGTTTAAGTGCAAAATGCATGTATTTAATCTTACTTTTGTTTCATTGTTCTTGCTGTAAAGCAATAGTTAATTCTTACTTAATAGTAAATGTGAAAAGGAATGTGTTCAATATTTTTGAATGTGTAATTCAGAATATTTTGAGGGATTGTCTCCAAGCGGCTCTCAACGTGGCGATTATCTGACAGCTAGCAGCTAACAGTGCTAACAGCAAAAACAAATAATTAACGATAACCTGAGCTTTAAATGTTAACCTGAGAGGTAACTGGGTTGACACCATGGGCCAGGATGGAGATGTCAGAGATGACTTCCTTATAATATAACTTTACAGCAGCGGCCATAGCCAAACAGAAAGACTTGCATGCGCTAACATGCTAACAAGCACGGCCATGCCGGTTAAATAAAAAAGCACAGAGAAACTCGGAGGGGGAGTTTGACTTCGTCTGACATCATTATTCTTCTATTTAATTAGAATCGGAGGGATGACACCCTCTTTAATGGTCACACATGCAGAGCACACAGCACACACAGTAAAATTTGGCCTCTGCATTTAACCCATCCTATAACTAGGAGCAGTGGGAAGCTATTGCACAG